TATATATATATATATATATATATATATATATATATATCTTACCTTTAATGAGCTCCCATCTGCAAAAGGCCACGTGAATAATATAAAGACTATTAAATATTATCCCTGTCTTTAAAAAGCTTTTTAATCCTTCCTAACTTTTTGGATACAAAGATCCACTCTTCTCAAGAGCTTCTTTGTGTGTTTCAAGTGCAGAATAGGCTGGCCTTTATAAATAGATACCCACAAAGGCACACTGTTGTTGAGTCCCTGGGGGAGGTGGGGAGGTCTAGGAGTTTGCAGACTGTATCAGTTGGTTCCAACCAAGCCTGCAAACACTGAGCATCAATCAGGCGCCAACCTCTGACCTAACCACCGAGCAAAAAACAAAGTAACTGAACTATGATTCCGTTGCACAAGCCTCCATTTGTATTCAGCAAAATCTTAAGCAAAGGTCTCCAGTTCAGGCTATTTTCTAAAAAGCCAAAGACAGTGTAGCAGCTGGGTTAAGATGTACATCTGGGGATAATTCTAATCGTAGTTTTCTGCTAAATACATGACCTCTGGGTAGCCATTAGAGATTTTCTTAGTAACCACTAAAATAAGAATAAAATTCTTAGATGCTTTATGTTCTGATTAATAAAATATGAGGGCAATCAATACCAGCTGTAGAATACAGTGACCTATAAATATGCAATCACCTTCACTTGAAATTCAGCTCTTTGCAGATTCACATGTAAATTAGCTCTTCACACCATTTTGGAGGGGGAAGGCTACCTTGTGCAAGGGCAAATCTGGCATGAGCTTTACAAACCCCAAGGAACCAAGTTGGGCATGTGGGCATATGTAAATATCTATGATAAAAACTAGGAAGTGGTATGTGCCATAGAGAAATACCAAAAAAAAAAAAAAAAAAAACCCAAATCCTGGGAGTTCAGAGGGAAAGAGTATTTCTGGCAGCTCTCATTTAACTGGAAAAATAAGCAGTGTGTCCATGCAGCTATTGGAGGCAAGAGCATTCCAAGAACCACATGAACAACGAATGGACATGGCTGTATTCCAATAAAACTTTATTTACCAAAACAGGCCTATGGGCCGTTGCTTACCAACCTTCTTTTTAAAGCAGGCTCAATGATAAAATGGTAGAGTATGTTCTGATATGTTTCACTTCGTATATATTTTGCAAATAGAAATTAATGAAATGCCTTTCTAGAGTTGAAACATCCTAGTAATTCATATATGCATGTCATCTAGCTGAGTGAACAGTGTGTCTAGGGAACTTCCCACCACCATGCCTTAGACATAGATTTATGAGCTGTGCTGTCTTGTTAGTAGATTCCCCGGCCTTGTGGCTTAGATAACCAAGGACACTTGTTGGGTTTGTTTGAACTTCTTGGGGCTTCTCATGTATTTTTATTTTATTTAATTTTTAGCCCACCTTCCGGCACCATTAGTATGACAGCTGGTCATTGTACAGGGAGGTGTCATGTCCTCAGGTGGTGCAAAAGGTTAATGTACTTGGCTGCTGACTGAATGGTTGGAGGTTCATGTCCACCCAGAGGCACTTCAGAAGAAAGCCCTGGTGATCTACTTTCAAAAACTCAGCCACTGAGAACCCTATGGAGCAAAGTTCTATTTGGACACGCATGGGGTCCCCATGAGTCAGAACTGACTTAACAACAACCGGTCACTGTGTGTGTATCTATCTATCTATCTATCTATATGTATGTATGTATATGTATATATGTATATGTATATATATATATATGTTGTT